GAAGACTAAAAGACTATAGTGAAGATAAAGACTATAGTGAAGATATAAAGACTATAGTGAAGATAAAGACTATAGTGAAGATAAAGACTATAGTGAAGATAAAAGACTATAGTGAAGATAAAGACTATAGTGAAGATAAAGACTATAGTGAAGATAAAGACTATAGTGAAGATAAAGACTATAGTGAAGATAAAGACTATAATGAAGATAAAGAAGATAAAGACTATAGTGAAGATAAAGACTATAGTGAAGATAAAGACTATAGTGAAGATAAAGACTATAGTGAAGATAAAGACTACATTTAAAGACTATAGTGAAGATAAAGACTATAGTGAAGATAAAGACTATAGTGAAGATAAAGACTATAGTGAAGATAAAGACTATAGTGAAGATAAAGACTATAGTGAAGATAAAGACTATAGTGAAGATAAAGACTATATAGTGAAGATAAAGACTATAGTGAAGATAAAGACTATAGTGAAGATAAAGACTATAGTGAAGATAAAGACTATAGTGAAGATAAAGACTATAGTGAAGATAAAGACTATAGTGAAGATAAAGACTATAGTGAAGATAAAGACTATAGTGAAGATAAAGACTATAGTGAAGATAAAGACTATAGTGAAGATAAAGACTATAGTGAAGATAAAGACTATATAAGACCTATAGTGAAGATAAAGACTGTGAAGATAAAGACTAATAGTGAAGATAAAGACTATAGTGAAGATAAAGACTATAGTGAAGATAAAGACTATAGGAAGAAGATAAGATAAAGACTATAGTAAAGATAAAGATAAAGACTAGTGAAGATACAGACTACAGTGAAGATAAAGACTAGTGAAGATACAGACTACAGTGAAGATAAAGACTGTAGTGAAGATAAAGACTACAGTGAGGATAAAGACTGTAGTGAAGATAAAGACTATAATGAAGATAAAGACTATAGTGAAGATAAAGACTATAGTGAAGATAAAGTCTATAGTGAAGATAAAGACTATAGTGAAGATAAAGACTATAGTGAAGATAAAGACTATAGTGAAGATAAAGACTATAGTGAAGATAAAGACTACAGTGAAGATAAAGACTATAGTGAAGATAAAGACTATAGTGAAGATAAAGACTATAGTGAAGATAAAGACTATAGTGAAGATAAAGACTGTAGTGAAGATAAAGACTATAGTGAAGATAAAGACTATAGTGAAGATAAAGACTAGTGAAGATACAGACTACAGTGAAGATAAAGACTAGTGAAGATACAGACTACAGTGAAGATAAAGACTGTAGTGAAGATAAAGAATGTAGTGAAGATAAAGACTAGTGAAGATACAGACTACAGTGAAGATAAAGACTGTAGTGAAGATAAAGACTGTAGTGAAGATAAAGACTGTAGTGAAGATAAAGACTGTAGTGAAGATAAAGACTGTAGTGAAGATAAAGACTAGTGAAGATACAGACTACAGTGAAGATAAAGACTAGTGAAGATACAGACTACAGTGAAGATAAAGACTGTAGTGAAGATAAAGACTGTAGTGAAGATAAAGACTAGTGAAGATACAGACTACAGTGAAGATAAAGACTAGTGAAGATACAGACTACAGTTAAGATAAAGACTAGTGAAGATACAGATACAGACTACAGTGAAGATAAAGACTAGTGAAGATACAGACTACAGTGAAGATAAAGACTATAGTGAAGATAAAGACTACAGTGAAGATAAAGACTGTAGTGAAGATAAAGACTATAGTGAAGATAAAGAATACATTGAAGAACTTAAATACCTTAGCTGGACAGATAATTTATTCAGAGATATTTAATGCTCCTGACAGATATTTTCAGATGCAGGGTTTAGGTAGGGGGAAACTGTTTCAGAAATTGTGAACATGGTGTTGCAAGCATGACTGGGCATTGCTCAGGCGTAGTTGTGAAAAAATAAAAGAAGTCAAGAACCCAGAAGTTTTGTCCATCCACTGTATGATCTACTTTTTGCTGAACTAAATAGTGTGATAAATGATGTGGTGAAAAAAAAATGGCCTACGTGGTCTCGAGGCATGGTGTCCGGCCCGAGGGCTAGAGGTTCCGGGTTCAATTCCAGTGTAAGGGCTGGGATTTAAAAAAAAAATTTTTATTTGTGTGAAAAAACTTTTTAGCGATGTCAGTAATTACAACCAAATAGAGAAGCGGAATTATTGTTATTGCAGTGCTTTATCTTTTGGAAACAATGATCCCGCCGTGTATTTAAAATGTTCTAACCTATGCTCAGCAGCAGATACCACATAAGCAGAAAACTGTAATTTTAGGAGATTAGATTTAACAAAACAAATTGCTATCTACATTTGTGTTTGTTTCTATGTTCAGTCAGCTGTCAGCTGGGCCAAAAACCAGTTTTCCCTGTTTTTAGATACATCGAAAGCAGAGTTAGAGGTGGTTCATGCAAGCACTGGATAGAGCGACTATCTGAGACAGTCAGATTAGCATACACAAAGGCTTGTTTCAAGTGCCTATTGAAAACCTGAAAGTGAACGGCAGAACAGGGGTTAGAGAAAAGAAGAAAAATCAGATCAATGTTACAACAACAAGAAATCAGGAATCACTGAATGAAAATTAGAATGCACTGACAATAGCACTCTGCATGACTTCCTGGACATACGGGCAGCCTTTCATCAGTTTTTCACTAGCGTCCACATGCTAGGGGTTTTCAATATATACAAATAAAATACAAAGTAAACAAACAAGAGAAACACTGATAACTTTATTCTGAGTTTGTATTTCACAAAATAAATAGAACATCACTGCACATAACATATTTCCCTGTGGTATTTGGATATGTTGTTTCTCTCAGATAAACTTTCACTGCAGCAAAATATAAATTATTTCTAAAGAAGTTGCATAGGAATTGCAACGTGGTGTGCCCTAGGTATAAAATGTCTCTTTCCTTTGTGTGCTTTATTATTCTTTTATTTGGTGTGAATATTTGGGTGAAAAAAGTATGCACATAGGCACACACAAATTCTTACATATACAGGGTGTTAAAAAGTCAAACCTAGTTAAAAAAAAAATGAAATAAGTAAATGGGGTGGAACATTGTGAACATCTGTTGTAATCAGACACAAATGCTGTAACTACAGTATCTAACAGTAGATACATAAATACCATATATTATAATGTCCACAGATGTATACAGTAGAACCTCTATAAGTTGACCACTCAAGGGACTGTTACCAAACTGTCAACTTATGGAGGTGGTCAAGATACGGAACAAGAATACAGCAGAATACAGTATCAAATGAAATTATACAGATCCACAATACCTAATCAGAACATCTCTTTTTTTATAACGCTTTTGTCTGTGTCTTATTACTATCGTATGTGGAGAAAGTATTCTCAATGCCTGGGCATTTTTCCTTACAAAATCTCCACATGCAATATCAGATGACTGACAGCCTCTTCTTTTGGAGTCGACAATTTCTGTGTCCTCATCACAGGCTTCTTCAACTTCACTAGATGCTTTATGCACTGCAGGGCTGGTCTGTATGATATGGAAAATTCCTTCTTGGTCTGGTTTATTATAAGTTACCACTCCATCATCTGTTGCAACATAACATTCAAAATCTATGCCTTGTAACTCTGTCACTGACAATGAAATGGCAATAAGGCTAATACACCATGCTCTTGGACTGTGACAAATCCAGCTTTCTTGAACAATTTCTGTATCATTTGCTACTGAACTTTATTTGAAGCAGAACTGATCACAGGGCATCATCTAGAGTGTTAACTGACGAAGCAGATGAAGTTGCTTCAATAGAAGGACTGCAGATCTGTGTTTTCGTAATAAGTCACTTCAAGAAATGGGTCAGGTTGTGCGTTTCAAATGTTTTGATGATGCCGTGGTCAAGACGTTAAATTTATGAAGTTGTAAATTGGTGGCAGTGTCACACTGGTGAGATGACCCCTAGTGGGTGGACAGGAAAGTTGTTTACTCTCAGTCAAGTAGACCATTTCTTCTTCACTTGCTGGTCGATGTACTTTATCTACTTCTCAACTAGACCACCAATCAACGATGTCAATTTGTTTGATCTCCAAGTAATGGGGAGCTCTTTGGGCTTCAGGTCCTTTAATGTGCGTAGCATTGCTGATTTACTGATCATAAACGGGTTTCATTTCTCTCCATCTGAGCTAGCACGAAGCATCATTGTCATCAGCACTAAAGACGTCATTATCTTTGAAAATCTTTTTTTTTAAAAAAGACTGCTTTAAAAAAAAAACTGTTACAATTCTGGATAACCATGTGTAGACAAAATGAAGTGGCATACCTCTTGATGTTGCTCCATTGACTCTTTGAAAGCCTGATCTCGGTGTTTATCTGGTTCTAGTAGATCAAACGAAGTATGCTGGACCTTTACACTTTTTCAAGTTGTAGCGGGCAAATTACTATTGTGTATCAAAACCAAAGTGACCAAGATACACCTAACATAGGTAGTCTAGTCAGCATTAGGAGGTAGTCTTCCACTGAGAATATGTGACTACTGTCCAGTCAATGACAATAAGGTAAACACAGGGAGGTGGTCAACACAGGAAGGTGGTCAACACAGGAAGGTGGTCAACACAGGAAGGTGATCAACACAGGGAGGTGGTCAACACAGGAAGGTGGTCAACACAGGGAGGTGATCAACACAGGGAGGTGGTCAACACAGGGAGGTGATCAACACAGGGAGGTGGTCAACACAGGGAGGTGATCAACACAGGGAGGTGGTCAACACAGGAAGGTGGTCAACACAGGGAGGTGATCAACACAGGGAGGTGGTCAACACAGGGAGGTGGTCAACACAGGGAGGTGGTCAGCACAGGGAGGTGGTCAACTTGGAGGTTCTACTGTAGTTACTTTTCAAATACCGTGTATGTACATATGTATTCAATTACATCAGTTTGGAAATGTCAGACAACATAAAAACTTAATCTAAGGTAGAAACTCAAAAAAGAATTAAACAAATTTCTTTAAATGACTATTGTGGTCTTGGTAGATTATGCCCATCATGAGATGAAATATCAGACAATGAAAGACAATGAGGGTAGCTGGTTTCATGGTGTTCAGGGTTGTTGGGACTGATGTTACTGGATGAAGACTGTTGAACATTGTCCAGATCCTCAAGATTGAGTTCTTGGGATAAGTTAGATTCATAACGGGACTGGCAATATTCATCGCAAGGGGAACTTGTACTGGATTTGTTGCTTTCAGTCTGTGAGGATGACATGGAGGGTACTGTGTAATTATGAGGTGAGCCATTCGTTATGTTCTGTCGTGCCAAGGAGGGCCAGCTTGATGCCAATCTGACCAACGACTGTTTTTGAGTTGTTTTTGGATTCCTGAAGGAAGGAGTAAAAATGTCTGATGGCGCAAATGATTGTGAATTTAACATGCAGTGTTCAGAAAAGGATGGCCCACAGCTGGCTCTGCGGGATGTTGGATTGCTGACAAATCTGGTCAAGGAACCGCCCTGGAGCATGAAGCTTTGGTTTTTTAGTGGAATAAAGCTAGAGGAGTCCAGGTTGCTACCCATAAAGTTCATTTCTAAAGTTGGACTCAGGCTGCAGATTTTTGGACGAGCCAGCAGTGTGTCCATGGACAGACTGCGAGGACTGGGAATAGTGTTCCTGCTGTGGAAGAACATCACACTTGTGGGCAAACTCTGCCGCCGATGCTGCTGGATAGGGATAATACTAGCATCTTTTCTGAGACCCAAGTAGAAGCTGAGATCCTTGCGCATGGCAGGAGGCAAACTATACCTTCTATTGCTGCCTATAGATGGTATGCTGTGTTCACTATCTTCGCTGACAGGGCTCAGGCATCGGCAACTCTCTTCCGATTCATTCTGGTAGTGGTACACAAGGTTGACATCATTCTCTACAACATCATCCTCTTCATCTTTTCCCTCCTCATCTTCCATGTCGGCATGTCTTTGTGAGTCTTCAACCTGAATGATTTGGGAATCACCAACATCCATGCTGTCCACCACTTCAATAGTTCTAGTGGTCATCGTTGTGTCCACCAAGTTCACTTCACTGTCTTTAGCCTCTTTTTGGATCTCCTCAAACTGAACGCCAAATTCTGAATCTACATCTGAGATTTCCTGTCCACTTTCCATGATGTTCTTCCATTGAGACTGATTGTGAAGCAAATGGGAGATCATCTGGGCAGACAAATCGGTTCCCAAAAACCTGTCCCAAGCTTTGAACAATGGACTGACCACATACTGTATGAAACCTGCAAAAGCACCAGAAAAAAGAGAATTAGGCACACACGTACATTATCTCCTTAGACACTACTACCCAAAAATGGCTCTATGCCACAATGGGTAATACATGGTCTCTTCAGAACTGCCCAGGCTTTGTGCTGTGGAAAGAAAGAACTTCATTCCAGGGTTAGTCACACTCACTACCACCATATACTGTTATTCCTATATCTCACTATAACACAATGAAACACTGCCATCTTTAACCTGGAAAAGTGGCCCCCTCCCCTTCCCCCCCCCCCCTCCCAATATACATAAGTACAAAATAAAAAAAAAAAAACACACTCACACACATATGTGCACAAGTAGCACACACATACACACACAGAGAGAAAATCTAACGAATACAGTAATATATACATATTAACACAGTAAAGTCTTATTCTTTTTCTGCCTTTTAGCCCCCAATGGAGCACAGGCTCTGAACCAGCTCCTGCCAAGTCGTTCTATCCTTTGTGATCGCATACAGCTCTTCCTATGTCCTCCCCACCTTTTGAACATCACTCTCTAGCTCCCTTCATCATGTGTTGTTTGGTGTGTCTTCCTTTTTTCTATGGTCTTGTGGTTTCCAGTGCAAAGTCATTCTAGTTATATTGTTCTCAGGTTTCCCAATGTGTGTCCTATCCAGTACCAGCATCTTTTCTTCATCTCCTGGCCGACTGGAACTAGTTTAGTTCTCTCCCAAAGCTCTACATTAGTGATTCTATCATACCATTCATTTCCCTATATATCCCAGTGTGGATTCCGGGGCCCTATTATAGGGAAAACAAGAATAGAACCACTGCCTACCCAAAAGCATGATGTAAGAGTCGACTAATTGGGAGCTTCCTTCGAAGTCGGAGTGCATCTGCCTGAGAGGCAAGGAACCAGCAGTCTGCACACAAATGAGTCAGATCTGTAAAACGGATGCACACGCAACACTCAGGTTTTGGAACAGGACTGCAGTCCAGAAGTGGATGAACAACCAGAACTTTCTGCCAGAGTTTACAACTGGTGACTGTGAAGAAGAAGAAGATATCCCTATATTCTGCACAGGCACCAGTTAATAATGAATATTTGTAGTTTATTAGTAACTGCCTTAGTTGTTCTCCATGTTTCCGCCCCATACAACAGCACTCAGTTGTTCTCCATGTTTCCGCCCCATACAACAGCACTCAGTTGTTCTGCATGTTTCCGCCCCATACAACAGCACTCAGTTGTTCTCCATGTTTCCGCCCCATACAACAGCACTCAGTTGTTCTGCATGTTTCCGCCCCATACAACAGCACTCAGTTGTTCTCCATGTTTCCGCCCCATACAACAGCACTCAGTTGTTCTCCATGTTTCCGCCCCATACAACAGAACTGATTTGTTCTCCATGTTTCCGCCCCATACAACAGCACTCAGTTGTTCTCCATGTTTCCGCCCCATACAACAGCACTCAGTTGTTCTCCATGTTTCCGCCCCATACAACAGCACTCAGTTGTTCTCCATGTTTCCGCCCCATACAACAGCACTCAGTTGTTCTCCATGTTTCCGCCCCATACAACAGCACTCAGTTGTTCTCCATGTTTCCGCCCCATACAACAGCACTCAGTTGTTCTCCATGTTTCCGCCCCATACAACAGCACTCAGTTGTTCTCCATGTTTCCGCCCCATACAACAGCACTCAGTTGTTCTCCATGTTTCCGCCCCATACAACAGCACTCAGTTGTTCTCCATGTTTCCGCCCCATACAACAGCACTCAGTTGTTCTCCATGTTTCCGCCCCATACAACAGCACTCAGTTGTTCTCCATGTTTCCGCCCCATACAACAGCACTCAGTTGTTCTCCATGTTTCCGCCCCATAGAACAGCACTCAGTTGTTCTCCATGTTTCCGCCCCATACAACAGTACTGATTTGTTCTCCATGTTTCCGCCCCATACAACAGTGACTGATTTGACATTGGAATTAACAATTTTAAGTTTAGTATTAGTTTTAATTTCTTTTTACCTCAATAAATGTCCTAGTGCTATAAAAGTTCCTCTTGCTCTTTGTAGTCTTATTTTAATATCTCTATCAGTTCCCCCATTCTTATCTACTTTACTGCTCAAAGAGGTGTACAACTCAACGTCTTGAAGTGGGGTGCCATTAGGAGAAACCACATTTCTGTTTGCCTGATTTATTCTCATTATCTTTGTATTTCCTTTATGAATTTTCAGTCCAAGCTGCTGTGATCTCGCATCAAGTATATTTAGTTTATCTTGCATCTGATTCCGTAAATGGGACAGAAGAGAAATATCATCAGCGTGTCCAGATCATCAAGCTGTTTTGTAGGGGTCCATTGAATTCCATTCTTAGTGTTAGCAACAAAAGACATCCCTGTCGCTCATCTGTTTTTATTTCAAATGTATCTTTTAGTTTTCCCTCAATAAGAACTCGACATTTCATGTCCTTGTATGTTGCCTTTACTACTACTTACTTACTTCTACTTAGTCGCTCCTCTTCTACCTTGGGGTGTAGAGGTTTGCCAGAGAGATCGCCAGACGTCTCTATCAGCAGTTTTCTTTCTGGCTTTGTTCCATTCCAGTCCTCTGTCAGTCAGGGACTGTCGGATGTTGTCTTCCCAGCGCACCCTGGGTCGTCCCGGAGGTCTGGTTCCCTGGTTCTTAGCCTCCCATGCTTGCCATGGTGGCCGATTTTCTCCCATTCTGCACACATGTCCAAACCATCGTAACTGTGACTGATCCACTCGGGTTAGTAAGGGCTGGGTATCAAGATCTTGACGTATTGTCTGATTGTGGACTTTGTCCCTTCTTGTCACTTGGACCACCTTTCTCAGGTATCTCATTTCCGAATGTTGCCTTTACTAAGCTAGTAATTTTCTGTGGGATTCCACAGTGCCCCCATTAATTTCCAGAGAGATTCGCTATCAATGCTGTCAAAAGCTTTTTACATGGTCTATGAATCCAACATAAAGTAGTGAATCCAATTCAATACCTTGCTCGATTATTATTCGTAATGTGGCTATCTGGTCAGTGCAAGATCTATTTGGCCGAAAATCTGCCTGTTTATCTCTTAGTGTTTTATCAATAGTATCTTTTAGTCTTTTCAAAACAAACCTACTTAACATTTTACCAGTCATTAAGGCAACATAATTCCTCTATAGCTTTCACAATCCTGTAGATCACTTTTTGGGGGCAGTTTCACAAGATATCCTTCCCTCCTATCTGCTGGTATTTCTTCGGTCTCCCACACTTTACTAAATAATCTATGTATCAATTCCTTAATAACTTCTGTTGGGATACCATCTGCACCTGCCACCTTTTATTCCTTCAGAAGACTGACAGCTTTTCTTCTTTAGATGGTATCTCATAGCTGATATCCAGTTCTTGATATCTGGATGAACCTCTGGGGTTGGTCTATCTAGAAGAATTTTAAAATATTGAGCCCAGTGTTATTGAGTACATTAAAAAGTTAGTTGCGTATCCTTTACAGGACGTTGCAGAACCAGCCCTAACAGCCCCTGGCTGTTGTGTGGTTTTTCTAGGCAAATTTACATCCAGTAGTTTGCCATTGCTTTCTGGACGGTCGGCTTTCTTGATACCACTGTCGAAACCAACGCAAGGCGCATGGCCCGCAGCTGGGATTGAACAAGTGTTATCATCGACTCAGAGGCAATGGTGAGTACATTACTGAGTCTATTTTTGACTAATCCTGTTGGCTTACTAGTGTTACTGTAAAGGTCTCTGAGGTTTCTTTTTGCTGCTGCTGTCTCTGCTACTTGTGCTAGATCAACTAAATATTTGACTTTATCTGCCCTTATATTCCTCCCAACTTCCTTATTAGCTTCTGTGTATTTTTCCTGAGCTTAGCTTTAGCAGCTCTAGTCTGCTACTGTTTAAGTCTACCTTTTTCCTTTTCCTTTGTTCAATAATTTAAAAGGTTTCTGGTGTTATCCATGCTTTAAATTTCTGTTCTTTCTTACCCAGGACTTCTACACACGATTCATTGATCGGATCCCAGAAGACGTCAATGTTTACCTCTTCAGCTAACGGCTGTATTATCCACATCTGGTACATAATAGAGACTGTTGCTGAAAATTGTTCCTGAACTTCTTTATCTCTGAGATAACCTAAATTATACTGGTTTCTATTATTATAAGATGTTATATATCTTTTAGGTTTCAACTTGATTTTACTTACCAACAGAAATTGATTAGCAAATACAGCGGCACCTCTGAAAGCCCTAACATTATAAAGTGATGATCTAAACTTGTTAGTACATGGCGATTTATTTGATTGGTTGTCTAATGGTCTGGTGATTCCCATGTTGCCTTAGGTATTCTTTTATGGGGGAAAAATTCTTCCATCAATAACATACTGGTTTCCTGCAAAAACATTTGTGAATAATTCTCCATTCTCATTCATTATTACTCCATGTTTTCCCGTTATCTTTTCATAACCTGAGTTATCTCATCCTATCATAGCATTCAGATCACCCATCAAAATTTTTATATTGCTCTTTCTTTTATTATTTATAATATTTTGAAGTTGCATGTCAAATTCCTCCTTAACTGATGCATCCTTATCATCTACTATTGCATAACACCGTATTACCAACATGTTCACTTTTTGTTTTGCTGTTCTAAATGACTCACTTATTATTCTACGACTCACAGCTTCCCATTCTATTAGTGCCCTCTCTACTTCTTTAGATATCATCAGGGCCACTTCTTCACTGTGGAGAGAATTTTCTCTGTATGTCCTGAGAACAAAAGTTTCCCCTGAATTTAGAATACTTTTCCTTCACCCAGTCCATCTAGTTTCACATGATCCTAAAATACTAATCCTTAAATTTTTTTCCCCCATACTACTTCCATTTCACCTCCCCCCCCCCCCCCCGTATATCATACAACATTGCAGGTGCCAATTCTGGAGGTTTTCCTAGGTGAGAGTAGGTATATCGGTGATCCGCTCCTTTAGGTTTTCTCCAGTCTCATACTTCTTCTA